GTGTGTGTGTGTGTGTGTGTGTGTGTGTGTGTGTGTGTGTGTGTGTGTGGTGGACAGTATATTGGACTTGGAGTCAGAAAGATCTGGTTTCAAATCCTACCTCCAAAATTTACTAGCTGTGTGAATCATACACAAGTCCCTTAAGCTCTCTCAACTTGTAAAATAAGGGGCTAAGACTGAGTGGCTTATAAAGTCCATTCATTCTCTCTTAGGGAACCCCCTATGGCAGAAACCATGTAATAATACACATAGGCACCTGCTATGCAACTGAACAGTCTTAGGTGCTCTGGGGTACCAAGAGGATCAAACAGGCAGCAAATATCAGGAGAGGACCTTGAATCCAGGTAGTTCTGACTCCAAGTCCTACTCACAAGCCACTAACCCATTCAGGTTTTCCAATTGCAGAAATCACAGCCAACATATTTAAATACATTATAAATAGAGTATAGCAAATGCAAATCAACCATTACCAAGCAAGCATTTACTAAGCCCTACTAAGTGCTAGACCCTGGGCTAGGGATAAAAATATAAAAGTGAGATGGTCCCTGCCCTCTAGGAGCTTACATTCTATTGGAAGGAGAATTCATTATTGCAATGCTCACGGTTGAGTTGGGTTCAGCATAACATGAGAAGTAATAATGCAGCTTTACTCTGCTCTGGTCAGACCACATCTAGAACATGGTACAGGCTTCTGAGTGTCATATCTCAGGGAAGACATTGACAGGTTGAAGATCTAGGAAAGGGTGACTAGGATGGAGAAGGAACTAAAGATCTTGCCATTTAAGGATCAGCTGAAAGAAGTTGGGATGTTTGGCATGGAGAAGAGAAGACTTAGAGGTGACCTGATAGGGTCTTCCGGTTTTTGAAGGCCCATCACAGGAAGGACTAATGTGGTTTGGGCAGGCCTGAAGGGGCCGGAGCACCAGAGCAATTAAGAGGGCATTTTAGGGTTTGCCTCAATTGAAAGTTTCCCCATAGAGCTACCCAAAGGTAGAATGGATTGCCATTGGAAGTGATGGGTCTTTAAGTACTTCAGAGCCAGCTGGGGGGCAAAATGGATAGTCTTGGACCTAGAATCAGCAAGATCTGAGTCTTCAAGACATGAGTCTTCAAATCCAGTTTCATATACCTATTAGTTGTGGGACTCTGAGCAAGTCACTTAATCTCTGTCTACCTCAGTTTCCTCATCTGTAAAATGGGGCTAATAATAACATTTACCTCCCAGGGTTGTAATAAAGATAAAATTAGATATTTGTAAAATGCTTTACAAACCTTAAAGTTCTCTGTATAAATGTTAGCTGCTGCTGCTGCTGTTGCTGCTGCTGCTGCTATTCAAGCAGAGGCAGTTTGTTGAAGATTTTACATTTTACATAGATCACATCCTGATCAGGTACAGGTCAGCCAGGACAACATATGAGGTCCCTTTTGGCTCTGAGGTCATATGACTCTGATTTTGCCTCTGAGCCTAGTGAGCCTTTCCAGGCTGCATGTCTCAAAAATCTTCTGGAAGAGCCTGAGAGGAACTTTTTTCCTACCACCCTTTTCACCCTCTATGTAGTCCCCTCTCACAAGGTCAAGGGAGCTCAGTAGAGGTGGGAAAGATATTGGAGATTGTCCTGTCCAATTTTCTCATTTTACAGATAAGGAAACCAAGGTACAGAGAAGTAGTGATTTTCATCAAATTCCTACAAGCAAAGAACAGAACTGGGATTCATACCAGATTCTCTGCCTACAAATTCAGCCAGCACTCTTTCCACCACATATGGTTTCTGTAGCCCTCTCCCCTTGCTTCTCCATGGCCTGTCTTCTCCCTCCCCCTCCCTCTCCAGCCTGGGCATTGGTTTGCTGCTGATTTTCTCTTGTGTGTGTGTGTGTGTGTGTGTGTGTGTGTGTGTGTATGTGTGTGTGTGTACCTTGCATAACTGGACTCAGCAGCTGGGCAGCAGGGGGAGGGGAGGATGATGTGGGACTGAGAGAGACCGCCCTCTCCTCCCCCTCACTGATACCATGAACCCAAGCTGTGTTGTTTCTGGTTGGGTGGATGCCAAGCCAGGCCCATAAATAGGGGTCTTCCCTGCAGCTCCCTCACTTGCCTTCTGCTTCTCTCTCTTGCCTATCCCAGACCCTAGTGCCTGGATCAGGACCTCCTCAGTCCTCAGCCCATTAGCAGAATGATGGCTATGGGTCTCCTGTGGGTAGGGCTAGCCTTGCTCCAGGCCCTAGAGACCCAGGCCCAGGCCCAGGACTCCCAACAGGAGATCCCAGTTCAGCCGGCCTTTGTAGAAGACAAGGTAAGTGGGAAATGGGTCCCTGCTGCTGCAGACCGGTTGGAGCTGAAGCTGGGGGACCTTGCCTAGCTTCCCCTCCTCAATGTTCTGCTCCAGTTGGGGTATTTTTGCTGGGAGATAATACATGAGGGGATGGATTAATGGGGAGATGTAAAGTATAGTAGTCTGGTCCCCAGATATGCCTTACACATATGACCTGCTCCAAAACCTCAAAGTGGTGAAAAGCTCATAGATTAGCCCTCTCACTAAAGGTGTGCTGCAAGATAAGGGTGTGAAGGGGTGGAGTCTTGCCCTGGTAACAAAATGTGGGGTGGGCAGGCAAAGGAGATATTCCCATGGATACAAGCTGCTCACGTGTATGCACACAGATGTGGGCTGATCCTTTCCCCACAAAGATTTGCAGAGGTTGACTGCAGTGGCAGCTAGAGCTATTGGGGAAGAAGGAGGGAGGGTGGACAGACCTCCACCCTTGGTTCAGTCATCAGCCCAAGACTCCAAGAACAGCCCCAGCATGCCCTCTGCTGGTTTCCTGGGATACTGCTGGCTGTTGCAGTCTTGCCTGTCCGTGACTGAAGAGGAGTGGGGATTGGGGCGGGGGGGAGGGGGGGTGGCACCTTCCTACAGTGGAACAAAGAGTCAGAGGGAGAACCACTCCTGACCATTGAGAGCCGGGATGGCTTAGCAGCTGATAGAAGGTTCTGACACCATCACTATCAGCACAGGTGCCCAGGGTTCTCAGGGGTGGTAGGCTGTTGACTCATTCTTGGGTCAGTGTTCTATGCTTAGGGTGAACATCTCACAGACAGTTCATTCTGAAGGCCACCCTGGGGTGAAAGTTTGGATGCCTGGGGAATGATAGGGAATGAATGGAAGTGAGTGAAGGGTCCCCAGAGGCTTGGCCTGCTACAAAGAAGCTGCCCCACAGTTTGTAGGAACATGGTACAGCGTGGGGTTGGCCTCTACCTTCCCCTGGTTCCTGAAAAAGAAGGCAGAGCTGATGATGTGTAAGACCGTCCTGACTCCAGAAATCGATGGAACAGTCAACTTTACCGCCACCTTCGTCAGGTAAGACTAGGAACCTGGGCAGTGATCAGGACCTGGGCTGCCAGCTGTCCTAGGGAGTCAGCTTCAGGTATTATACAAGGTTAAATAAAATGGGGAGGTCATGGACGGATGAAGGACCTTTCCTTCCCGTGCCCCCTAACCATCACTCCTTCCTAAACAGATCAGGGACAGAGCAGGAAATGATGGGGTGGGAGGGGGAAGGGGGAAGGTAGTAACTTGGCTATAACAGTTTTATTAAACAATATTTATTGGGATAGGGCAGTGTAGACTTTCCTAACACTACAAACCTCCCCTACTCCATACAATGTACATTGCCCAGAAACAGTTAAAGCCACCCTAGTAGTGAGATAAGGAATGCACCTGTGACGTATTTGTTAAAGGGATTGCCCAGGTGAGGAAATTCCCTCTACCAATGTGGGTCAGTATCTTCTCCGCATTTTATAGTCATAGTTGCCCAGAGTACTATGGCAAGGTTATGTGATTTGCACAGCATCGGTATGTTTTGGAGGCAGGGCTTCAGCCCAAGTCTTGCTGGCTTTGGTCAATACTGTGATCCACTTCATGTCACTGAGAATGGATGTTTCATGTCACTGAGAATGGATGTTGCATGTCACCAGACACCTTTGCAGTTTATGAGATTGTTCACAGAAAGGAAGAAAGTGTGTGTTAGTCTTCATTCAATGGAAGGAACCCACATTGTTCATTGTATGTGACCCAGGTTGTGTTTGCCTTAGTAGGGTCTTTATTTACATAATTGTTGTCCATATGCATATTGTTCTTTTGTCTCTACTTTCTTCACTCTATCTCCTCACAGGAGACATTATTAAGCAATTTTTAATCAGAACAGGTAACTTGAGCCAGGTAAAGGGAAGGTCAGGGTCTGGCTATTAATGCCACAGTGAGGCTGGGAGCATGAACAGGTAGGACAATATGTACTCCTAATATTTAACCCTATCCCTTACTATAGCCATAACCCCAGCCTCTAATATTAACCTCATCTCAACTCATCATAATCACATTTTAGTTATCCTTTAAACCTTTCACATTTCCAATGCCAATCCAGAAGCAGTTTTGAAAACTAAAAATAAATAAATATTTTTAAAAAGAGAAAAAAAAGAAACTACTGTCAAAATAAAATAAAATAAAATGAAGGGTTGGAGCCAATGGCCTCTGAGGTTTCCTCAGATTCTGATTCTAATTATATGATCCTCTAATATTAACCCCAACCTCAAAGTTAGTTCAGCAAACCTTCTACTCTAAGTCTGTACTGCTTCTAAACATTAGGTCCTCCATAGGCATAGTGTCCGACCTTTGGCTGGGGTTGGGGCAGGGGCAGGGGCTGGGATTAGCCACCTACTTGTCTCTGTTCCTGGGATGTACCTACAGCAATAACCAGTGTGAGACTCGAACTTCACTCCTGAGGAAGACCCAGCAGCCGGGACATTATGTCTACAAAAGCCTCAGTAAGTGCTCCCCTTCCTCTCCCCCTCACCTCCTCTGTTTTTCCTGTCAGGGCAAGGGGACTTACGTGTCTAAGCAGAATTCAGGGGATCCAGGGAGGAAACGCCATAGAAAATATCAAGAGGGAATCTATGGTCAAAGAGGGTATTGGCTGGCACTGGGTGAATGAATCCATTTTCTCCTACTTGCCCTCTAGTTAGGATTCCAAGAGGGGAAACAGGTTTAGAGAGCCCCAAGGGGGAGGTGGTCCAGGAGCTCCCCACAATGTTCCCTTCCTTGTGTTTTCTCAGAGTGGGGGAGTGAACATAACATCTTTGTGGTGGAAACCAACTATGAAGAATACTGCCTGCTGTATACCACTAAAACCAAAGGCAACAGTAACTTCAACATGGCAACTCTCTACAGTATGTACCCAGGGTAGCCCAACCCAGCCCAAAGGGGACCCCACCTAGTGCCCCACCTGCTAATTGGGATAGGGTCCTCAAACCCTCTTGCCCCACCCCTTCTAGTTTTATTGCAAATACCAACTAATCCTTAGGTTTTCCTGGATCCAGATCATTTAACCCTTTCTCTCTGAGGACAGAATAAGATTTCAACTGAAGTGTCCCAGATGGAAGTAGGCCAACATCCTAAATTCTGACCCTGGAAACCATAATCAAGGGAGGCTAGGGAACAGCTTTCCCAGACTGAGTTTAAGAACAATCCTTCTCGGAAAGAGGGGACTGCTTCAGATGACCTCTTTTCCTACTTAATCTGTGCTTCCCTTGTGTGCCAACCTTTTCTGCCACAGGCAGAACCAAGGATGTGAGACCTGAGCTGAAGGAGAGGTTCATCAGGTTTGCCAAGTCCCATGGCTTCACAGAAGACACCATTGTCATCCTGCCCAAAACTGGTGAGGACAAGGTTTGAGGGGAAGAGGGATTAGGGTCTGATAAGGAGCACATAAACACCCTTGGCCAAACACCTTAATTGAGGGAGGAGGATCCTAGGATAGAGTTGGTTCATTGTAAAAGAGAAGCTAGGGTCTAGACCTTCAAATACCAGTCCCTCCTCTGATTCCTGCCTCCTTCCCCCTGCTCTTTGCCGTGAATCTCAGAATTTCCTTGAACTAGCCTGGAGCATCAGGTGATGGCTTCCCCAGTGACAGAACAACAGATAAAGAGGATTGGGCTAACTTTCACCACTCTCTCACAAAGTCAAATTTGGGGAGGTGAATGAGAGACAGCACCCTAAACTCAGGCTTCTTACCTTACTGAGTCTCAGAAAATAGTTATGTGGGTGGGGAGGAGGTGGAAATGACAGGCCTAGGCCTTCTGGGAGGCTCTGGTCCAAGGGGAAAGACTAGGGCTTCCCACCTAACACCCCAAATCTGGAGAATTTTAGGGGTTCTACTCTCAGTTGATTACATTCCAGAGGAGGTGGTAGATACATCCTATGAGAAAAAAGCCAACTAATTGCCATTATTCTGCCTTCTCAGTAAGGCAGCGGGAAAGAGGAGTTAGGACTCTTTCATCTTCTTTGAAATGATCATAAGAAGGAAAGGGGCTTGTATTGCATCAGGGAGGATTGAGATTAGACGTGAAAAGAACTCTTACAAACACTATCAGATCCTAGAATGAAAAGCTAAGGGCACTATATGAGGCTTAAAATGAAGACAGATTCTCCTGGATAGAGGACAGTTGAGTATAGGAGAGAAAAGGAGTGGTTCTATTTAAGGGATAGAATGGTGAGGATTTCTTGTAACCTCCTCTGTATACAGATTTGGAGATAACTAACTTTTTTTCTCTCCTGCAGATCAGTGTATCGATGAAAACTAAGTGAGTAGCCCTGAAGGGCATGACCTCTGATGCCTTATCCACAGCAGGGATTGGGGATGGAGTGTGGGGGTGTGGGGGTGCAGATGGGAAGAAGGATAAACGGTACCGGCTAGAAACAACACCTATTTCAAAAGTGCTTTTCTCACAACTACCAAGTGTGTTAGACAGTAACCTTTACTATCAACTTCATTTGACACATGTAGACGCAGAGCCTCAGAAAAATTTAAGTGACTTGCCTTGGGCCTTGCAGTTAATGTCAGATTTCTACATAGGACTCTGTTTGAAGTTTGAGGCTTTTTCCACTTACTATATCACGATTTTTTTCTCCTTCCACTCAGGTCCTGCACATGCCTTGATGACCCCCTTGGACCTCAGACTCTTCTCTGGAAAGTCTCAGCTCCATGGCCCCCTGGCAGGCAGTATCCTTCTGCCTGTGCCACCCCCAGCTTTGTGCTTCTGTACTGGCCCCACCAAATAAATAAGTGGAGTACTTGGTCCTGGCTCTTGTCTTGTCCTCTCAATAGCAACTTTCTTCCTTCTATTAATTTATACCACAGTGTGGTCCTTGAGGGTTACTAGCTCGGTATAGGACTCCCCTTTCCTGGGCCTCAGTTTCTTAATTTATAAAATGAATGAGCTGGACTCTATCCATGACATCCTTCTAGGGACTTAGCTTTGATATCAAGTGTCTGATGATTCTAGCATTCTAACATCACACAATTTATCCGATATCTTCCCAACCAGACAACCAAATTGGAACATTGCCGTAGTTGGATGTCCAGAGCTGAGAGTGGGGAATGGTGCCATCCAGTATAATATCACTAGAGCTAAAGCTGAAGAGAGGTGGGACTCCTTAGGAAGGGAACAGAGCTTCATAGTCCTAAAGGACCCTTGAGTATCAATTGACCTCTGAATAATTCCTTGGGTGGGTGGAAGAAGATGAGGGAATGGATGAAGTCTGTACTTAACTTTGATTGGTTTTTGCTTTGTTTTTTGATTGTTTGATTGTTACATGCAATTCCCAGGGTACTCCCAAAATACTGTCACAGGGGGAGGAAAAGGTTGGAAGGTACATTTTTGGGCCTAATCCGATTAAGTATAAAGTGGGGATTAAAGAAATTAGATGGCTCAGAGATAAGGGTTTATCTTAAGACAGATTTAGATAAAGGGAAAGATTAGTTTGGAGGAGAAAGAAACCCCTCTACTGTTTTTTTTCTGTCCCTCCTACCCCTAACTGAGCGAAGAAGAGAAACAGGCTGTGAAGCCAAAAGCTTTTCTCTTTAGCCCTTGCCACAGACTGACCAAGTCACAAAGTGATTCCCTCACCCAAGCCACCAGCTGCCCTATAAGCCCAGCCACAGATTGAACCCCTAACTTAAAAAAAAAAATTTGCCCACACCTCACTTCTCTTATGGCTGAACCTTAGCCATCAGATTTCTGTCCCTACCAGACTTATTGAAACTTATCTTACGAGTTACCATGGCTTCCTATTCACCGAATTCTATCAGTTCTCTTCCTCCTTGACTTTTCTGCAGTAGCTACTAACACTGTTGACCAACTACTTCTTGAAATTCTCCTTTTCTTGTCTTCCTTGACACTATACTCTCCTTGTCAGAGACATAACTAGGGCTGGGTGATGTGAACTTTGCCTCATTGCATTGACATTTAGAAGGCAACAACAACACTTTCAGTAGAACAAAGATGATTGTCTTAACCCTTAGTAAGAATAGATGGTGTAAAAGAGAAGCTCTTTTGCTCAGTCAGCTCTTCTTTGGTCTGCCCCCCACCCCCACCCCCCATTTCTTGCTGCTTGCCCTTGGCATATTTTGTGCTTCTAGCCCCCAGGTGAAAAAATAACTAGTTACACCTCCCTTCCAAATTTTCTTCCTAGGTCTCTGACTTCTCTGTTTCTTTTCCTTTCTCCTATTTCCTTTCCAAAAATAGATATTCGACAAGAGTCTGTCCACACCCTTCTTTTCTAATCTCTACACCCTCTCTTGGGGTAACGTCATCTATTCCAATGGCTTCAATTATACCCAGAAAGCTCCCAAATTCAATAGCTCTAGTACTGACCTCTTTCTAGAGCTTTAGTCTCAAAATTTCTGAATACCTACTGGGCATTTTTATTTGAATGACCCACTGCCTTTCAAATTCAACACGTTAAAACCAAACTAAGAATTCTCCCTGCAACCCCAGTTCTTCCTGACTTCTTCATCTCTGTTAATTTCCTCTCTTCCCAGTGACTCAGGCTATTTGGAATCTTTAGATTAAGCTTTGACTCCTCTTTCTACTGCAATGTAATCATAAACAAATATTTATTGAGCACCTGTTATTAGCAAGACCTCAGGCTTAGCACTGAGGTTTCACAATTTTGTAGGAGAAAGGTCTCCTGTTCTCAAGGAGGTCACAGTATAGTTGAAAGACTGGACATTGATCAATCAAGAAACCAACAAGTATTTATTAAGGGATTGCTATTGTGCCAGATGCTATGTTAAGCACTGATGACACAAAGAAAAAGAGGGAACAGTCCCTACCCTCAAGGAGATTATACTCTAATGGAGATAGCAATATATAAATAGATATACAAGTTACATATGGAGGAGATAGAAGGTGCTGCGGAGGTATGCACAAGATGTGTAAAATAGATATAAGACTGATACAAAGTGGATTCATGGTAGATACAAGGTATATACAAGATACAGACAGAGTAGCCACAAGAAGGCAATCTTCAAGAGGAAGTAGAAATTCATATAGTTCAAGGAAGTATGAGAAAGGGACTTAAGACACATTGAAAGGGTACTTTAGCAGAACCAGGAGAACATTGGACACAGTAACTATATGCGATGACTAGCTTTCATAGACTTGACTCTTCTCAGCAATGCAAGGATCTAAGACAACTGCAAATGACTCATGATGGCAAATGCTATCCACATTGGAGGAAAGAACTATGGATTCTGAATAGAGATTGAAGAATACTATTTTTTGTTGTTGTTTTGTTTTGTTTCTTCTTTCTTGTAGTTCCTCCCACTGGTTCTAATTCTTCCTTACAACATGACTAATGTGAAAATGGTTAATATTAATGTATATATAGAGCCTATATCAGATTGCACGCCCTCTTGGGGAGAGAGGAGGGGAAGGAAGGAGGAGGAAAAAATTTAAAACTCAAAAGCTTATGGAAGTGAATGTTGAAAACTAAAAATAAATAAATAAATAATGATTAAAAAAAAAAGAAAGAGTGCTTTACCACTTCAGAGGAGAAAGCAATTCCTTCCAGGTAGCTATATAAAGGAAGGCTTCATGGAGGTACTGAACTTTGATAGACCAACAGAATTTCTTTTGGGGAGGCGGGGGGGGGGGCTAGGCAATGGGGTTAAGTGACTTGGCCAGAGTCACACAGCTAGTAAGTGTTATGTGTCTGAGGTCTGATTTGAACTCAGGTCCTCTTGAATCCAGAGCCGGTGCTCTATCCACTGTGCCACCTAGCTGCCCTCAACCAACAGAATTTCAAGAGATGAAGATGTTGGGGGAGAGAAATGCAAGAGATGGAAAGCTGGAAAACCTTGAGTCATATTCAGAGAATGGCAAATAAGTCCAGTGTGATTGTAGCAAAGTTTGCATTTATAGCAGCAGTGTGCCATATAAGACCAAAGAAGCAGGTTAGGACCAGATTGCGAAGGGCCTTGAAAATCAGACTGAAGAGATCAGACTTTCTCCAATGTACTCCCTCCTCCTCCTATGGCTTTGACTTTCCTATTTCCTTTCCTTGCTCCTTTTTCTTCCTATGGGTATTCTCAAAGGGTCCATCACAGACCTTTCCCTGATCACAGTCAAAACTGCTTTGTTCTTCATTCTGTATATCTCTAATGCAATGGGGTGGACTGTGATTACCTGGCCTGGTGTTTCCTTAAGTCCTCCTCAGATGCTTCTTCACAGTGTGTGAGTGAACTTTGACCCTTGAAGGCTATGCCAATGGAACAGAACTTCCTTTGGGTCCTACTAAGGTGGAAGGGCTTTACAAGTAAGCCCAGGAATGAACACTGTGTCTATTATTCAAGGACTAACCTAGCACAGTCCAGAGAAGTTCATTACCAGGTTGGCTGCAGGGTGATAGATTTTTTTTTTCAGCCATAGTATCTGTCAGAGATCATCCATTAAATCAGTCAGCAAATCAACAAACATTTCTTAAGCACTTGCTATGTGCCAGCATTGTGCTAAACCCTGGAGATACAAAGAAAGGCAAAAAGCATTCCCTGCCCTCAAGGAGCTCATACTCTAATGGGGGAGACAACATGCAATCAACTATGAATATCAAAGATAATGGACAGGATAAACTGGAGGTAATCTCAAAAGGAAGGCACTAGTGAATTGACCCAACTAGAAGCCCAAGCAGGTAGATTAATTCCCCATTGGCCCTTAGGCCCCCTTGGACCTCTAAGACTCACTAGGCTAGAGAAAGAATCAGAGGGAAGGGATTTCCTTTGGTGTCCTCTTTTGTACTGTTTGGGACAGTCACTTTTCCTTCCTGCCCCACCTCCCCCCGTGTTTGTTTCTCTGAGTCCCAATACCAGCAAAGGAAACCAAGAATAATTGCTCCAATTTGCTGTAAGAGAGAGCTGTACCTGGAGTTTAGGGGGTCATCCTGATCTGGATTTGGGTTTGAGAATGAGGGCCCCCTCCCTTTACCTTATCCTGGAAGGATCTGGTAATTTCCCTTTCCATCCTCTCATGGGCCCTAAATTCACCTCCCCATCACTTTCTGCAAGTCTATTCACCTCTCTGTGCCTCAGTTTCCCAATCTGTAAAAGGAGGACAATATTGCCAACTCAGATTACCTCTAGGGCTATTTGTGGGCATGACATGAAGTCTCTGTTGGCAAATGCTTTGGAAAATAATGGAGTGCTTGACAAATAATACACATTAACTTATTATCAACCTAAGTAGTGGCTGGGACTGAAGCCTAATGGGTCCAGAAAGATTCAAGCTCAGCCCTGGCTTGGATCTGTGGGTGTTCTAAGTGAATCCTGGGCAGAAAGAAGACAGGAGGGCTAATTGAACCCTCCAACCTGAAACCTGAGCTTCTCTTCCCCGCCCCACCCCTGACCTCCCCTATCTCTCCTGCACCCAAAGAGGAAACATTCCTCTGAATGTACATCCTGTTTTTTGAAAGACATTTCACTGGTTCACACAGGCCATCCGCCAGGCTGGGTGAAGCTGAGGGATGGTGGCTGGCGTCGTCCTCCTTGGGCATCAAGCCGTCTTCCGCCCCCTCCCCGCCCAAGGCATCTTCTCAGAAGGATAAATGCCATGACCTCAGAGGGTACAGTACCACATCGAACTCTCAAGTCTTGGTGGCTCCTGATTTAGTGCTGAGTGAACGCTCAGGATGATGAAGGCTGTGCTTCTGGGTGGCCTACTAGGGCTGCTTTGGGGCTCTCCAGTCCAAGCTGATGATGTGCCTCTTCAAGACAATTTTGACAACAGCAAGGTAACCAACCCCTCAGAAGAGGTGTGAGTATGGGGCGGGGCTCTGATGGGGTGCTTGGGTGGTTGTACTGGGACCCCAATTCCACGACCATGTTTCTCCCTAGCCTCAGAAACACTATCCCTGGCAGTTTCTCCCCAGCCCAAGGACACTGTGCCTAGCAATTACTTATGAGTGGGCCCCAGCAAAACCCTTATCTCTCTCCCTGGTGCAGTTACAAACAGCACCAGAAGGAATTATTAGCTTGAACTGGCTTTGCACTGGGTCATAAAGATATTCTTAGCCACTGGACTATTTATACTACTGCCCTATCTCATTATCTGCATCCTGGACTTCTCATTATCTGTATTCCAGACCTAAGACATTTGTATGCTCCCTACATCTATCTTGTCAAACAAGACATTGACTGGTGGCAGACTGGACAACTCTCAGTTATCCCTGACCTCTAGTTAACTTAGTGACGTAGCAGGCCTAAAATCACACCTCCATGTGGTCCCCGTTGTGGGCTTTTCCTAGTGAACTTTGAGTAAGACGCCTATGCAGTAGTTAGAAAAAGTGCATGTTCCTTTAAGAACTGGCCACTCCTTAACCACTCCCTAATCCCACCCTGAATCGCATATTTAGCATATTTGACTTTAACTGTACCCCTCTAAGATCGCAGATTCCTTAAGAATACTTGCCCGGTATTTAGTGTAACAATAAACTTTTTGCCAACTTGACTTAAAAAGTGGTTGAGTCTGTGAATTCATTCCAAATGACCCTGTCCTGTACTCCAGTCTCTGAGGGGTCTCAACCTCTCAGACCGCAACAGCTGCAGAGGTTGGGAATGAATTTAGGGAGCAGTAAAAGGACATGCAGGTTTCCAAGTACCTTGTACTAATACCCATTTGGATGTGGAGTAGGGAAATTTGGAGTACTAGGATGATAATAGTAAAGGAAAAAAACCACAAAACTCCTCTTTCTCTGCTTATGAGACATGCCTTTCCTTTGTACTTCCTGCCAGTGACCTCACTTTATCCTTACCATATCCTCACCATTACCTAGGGAAGAAGGTGCAGGTAAGAAAACTCTTACTCTTTCATTTCGTACAGGAGGAAACAGAGCTTAAGTGACTTGCCTGGTGTCACAATACTAGTCAGTAGCAGAAATAAGACTCAAACTTGGATTTCATAGATCCATTTCCTAGACCCTTTCCAACCTCCATCTACCACAACCCCCAAACTTAAGCCAGAACACTTAGCCTGTTACAAGGCCTACCTCATAGCAAAACCATCAGGTAATAGCCCCAGATCTAGAAGAAACCTCAGAGCCCAACTAATTCAACCCCTTCATTTTACAAATAAGGAAACTAAGGCTCAAGAAGCCTAAATGTCTAACCCATGCTGACTTAGATAATAAGCATTAGAGGCAGGATTTGAATCTAGGCCCTCAGTAAGTGCTCTTTCTACTACATTATAGCTGCCTCCCAAATCCATCACGAATGCTGGTATTCTCAGCTCACTTAGCCCAGCTTTGGGGTGGGAGGGTGGGAAGAGGGGAATCATTGAAGGCTCTGACCCCTCCCCCAATTCAGCCGGACTCACTAATGTAATTGATTGTTGTTTGGCTCCTGAATCCCTGAGTCCTAGACTTATCCTTAAGGCAGAGCCTACTTTGGTAGTCTAGGGTAAGGGCAGTCAGAAGGGCTGGGTTCTGGAAGGACCATGTGACTAGAAGCTAAGAGCATTGCCCTGATCCTTATGTGGTTTCCATTGCCATCGCCTGTCCCTTTCTTCTACAGCAGGGGTGGGGAACCTTAGGCCTCAAGGCCATATGTGGCCTTCTAGGTCCTCAAGTGTGGCCCTTTGATTGTACCAAAGTTCACAGAACAAACCCCCTTAATAAAAGGATTTGTTCTGCAAAACTTGGACTCAGTCAAAAGGCCACTCCCGAGGTCCTAGAAGACCACACATGTCCTTGAGGCCTAAGGTTCCCCAAACCTGCATAACTAAGGCAGGGCAATCAAGATTTTGTACTAAGGGTGATGATTGTTAGAGGAGGATAATAACACCTGTAGTCCTTCAACAAAAAAAAGAAAGCAAGAATAGTTAGTTAAAATAGGAAGCTATTAAAAAATACACTTCCTTCCAAGGCTGTACCTTCGATAAGCTACTCCTCAAATCAGCACCCTCCTGCTGTCTCCTTCCTAGGGCAGCAGGTCATGGACACCAGAAACTTTGTCCAAGAGTCCCTCTCTATGCCTCTGTCTCTCTCCCACTCACCTGAATTTGTCAAAAATTTTATTTGAAGGTATTTTTCCAGCTGCTTGCCCCCAGGCTACAATTTGTTGAGTTTGCTGGAATGGTTAGCTACAGCTTTACTCACATAACTAAGTCCTACATTTCAGCCTTTTCCTAGTCTTAGATAGAGAGTGACCTCCCCACTCTGGGACAATTTGGCGTTTTCCAGGCTGGATTCAGACAGTCTGGTGAAATAAGTCACTATTGTAACCTTCTACATAAAGTTTTTTTTGGTTGTTTTTTTGCCACTCTCAGCCCTAGCCCTTAGTGACTCTCCCAAATTATCTTGTATTAGTATACTTATCTTCTATAAATTTCACATATACTTATATATGTGCATGATGTCTCTTCCAATAGAATGAAAACTTCTAAAGAGCAGGGATTCCTTCATATTCCCACTACCCAGCGAAGTGCCTGGCACTTAATAAGTGCTTAATTAGTAAATACTTGTTCACTGATTAAGTCAGAAGAACTAGGTTTGAATCGCAGAGCTGCTAATTAATGCCAGCTTAGCCTTTGGCAAGTCACCTAACCCTGTTTGCCTTAGTTTCCTCATCTGCAAAATGAGCTGGAGAAGGAAATGCAAACCACTGCAGTATTAGCCAAGAAAATACCAAGTGGTGGGGCATGAAGAGTCTGACACCACTGGAAAAAAAAAACAAAAACGATTGAACAACAACAAGCTTTGTCAAGTTACTTCCTCTGTCTGGGACCCATTAGCCTCATCCATAGAATGAAGAGGTTCACTTTCAGATGTTCTTAACCTTTCTGGTACCTGGAGCCCCTTGGCAGCTTGGTGAAATCCATGAATTCCCTTCTCAGAAAAATGGTTTTTAATTCATAATATAAAACATGTAGGATTGCAAAGGAAACCAACTTATTGAAATAGGTTTATCAAAAAAGTTTTTAAGGATTGTACTTAACCTGGACTCCAGGTTAAGAACCTCTGCAAATGACTTCTTAAGTTCCTCTGAGCTTTAATGCCTTTTTGGCCATGGAACCCAGATGCTTGTCTTTACCCATAAAATCTTTGATAATGGAGTTTGACAGCTAGGATAGGTTGAGTGACTGCATCCTGGTGTAGATCCGGCTTCCTGTCTTAGAGATTATACTCTTCCCCCTTCTAGCTGCTGGCACACGCATGCACACACACACACACACACACACAGATTGGATTTGTATACAGCTTAGGGTGTGGAGAGGTTGGAAAATAGCAATCATGACATCTAACTCTGGTTTGGAGCACTCTGGTTTGTAAAGTGTCTTCTGGGCTTTGTTTTATTTGAAATACCAAAAGACTCTGAGTCTGACTCTCATGGGGTATGGTTTCTCTCTTCAGTTTCAGGGTATGTGGTACATCACAGCAGCAGCATCCGATGACGAAGACTTTTTGGCCATGAAGGACATGATGAAGATGCCAGTCACTTTTGTGACTCCTCTGGCCAATGGTGACTTGTCTGTCAAGATAGTTTTCCCAGGGTGAGTAGGAATGAGACAAAGGGAGCCTTAGAGGTATCTAGGCAGTTACCGAGGCAGATTCCCCTAAGTACCCCACCAACTCCCCAGCTGAGAGTTCTCTACCTACCAGCTGCCCCAGCTTGGTTCATGCCACTTGTCTCAGGCACAAAAATTCATAATTACAGATCTCTGCCTACCACAATGTAAGCTCCTTAAGGGCAGGGACTATTTGTTTTTTGTTTTTGCATTCCCAACATCTAGTTGTCTGGCTCCTGTTGTTTTGTTAAGTCATTTCAGTCCTGTCTGACTTTTTGCAACCCCATTTGGGGTTTTGACAGAGATACTGGAGTGGTTTGCCATTTCCTTCTCCAGCTCATTTTACACATGAAGAAACTGAGACAAACAGTGTGAAGTGACTTGCCCAGGGACACACAGCTAGTAAGTGCCTGAGGCCAGATTTGAACTGAGGGAGATGTCTTCCTGACTCCAGGCCTGGCACTCTCACTGTGACACCTAGCTGCTCGGTCTGGCTCATAGAAAGTGCTTAATACATATTTGTTAAATTAAATGGTCAAAAAAAAAAGACAAGAGTTCCTGCCTTTAAGGAACTGGCAAATCCAACTATGGAGGTGAACATAGGCAAAGGGCAAGTGAAGAACCCTAGCAAGCAACATTTCCATTAATTTATTCAGCACTGAAAGGCAGCTAGGTGGTACAGTGCCAGGCCTGGAGTCAGGAAGATTATCTTCATGAGTTCAAATCCAGCCTCAGACACTTAGCTGCGTGACCCTGGGCAAGTCACTTAACCCTGTCTGCCTCAGTTTCCTCATCTGTAAAATGAGATGGAGAAGGAAATGGCAAACCACTCCAGTATCTTTGTCAAGAAAAACCCAAATGGCATCACAAAAAGTCAGACAGGACTGAAAGTACTGAGTAGCAGCATTCAACACTGAGGCAGCGAGGTGGTGAGAGATAGAAAGAGAGAGATCGTGCTGGGCCTGGAGTCAGGAAGACCTGAGTTTAAAGCAACCTTCAGATACTTACCAGCTGTGTGACCCTGAGCAAGTCACTTAATTTCTATCTGCCTCAGTTTACTCAATTATAAAATGGGGATAATAATGGCACCTACCCCCCACAGTTGTTGTGAGGATCAAATGAGATAATATTTGTAAAGTGCTTAGCAAGATGCCTGGCACATAGTAGGTACCATATAAATGTTTATTCCTTCCCCTCCCTCCCACTGAAGAAGTTCTGTGCTCTCAATTTATTTTGAGACCCAAAACACACACACACACACACACATACACACTAATTAACAATGCCTAAATAAAGATATGATTAAAGGTCAAAATATGCGACACTGACACACTATCGTCAGAAATTTAGATGGCTCCATCAAGAATATGCTTGATGAAAATGTAAAAAAGGAAGTTTTATAAGGAATTCTCTATGGCAGCCCACATCTTCACAGGCATACAGCTGATCTCCAGGTAGAAAACACATGAGATTCCACTGTGTCTATTGTTTGTTGACTTCAAGAAAGTTTTGGAATAAATAGAACAAAAATTCTCTCAAGCAAGGTGCCACATACATGTGTGGAAATAATACAAGACTCCATTGCAGATATTAATAACTGTGAAGATAATAACTAACATTTATATTGCATTTTAAGGTTTGCAATGTACTTACGTATGTGATTTCATTTGATCCTCATAATCACCCTGTGAGGTATATGTTATTATCTCCATTTTACAGATGAGGAAACTGAGGCTGAGAGATGTTAAGTGAATTATCCAGAGTCACACAGATAAGTTTGTTGAATATTGACATCATATGAGCTGTAAGAGAGACCTGTGCTCATTTAAGGAGCAGTTGAGAATGATATGATATATGATGATATGATATGATATATTATATATGATGGGATATGATATGATATGATATGATATATGATACTTATATATATACATGCACACTATATATATGTTATGATATTACAACAGACTGGATACATGGGTGCTAAAGGAATGATTGACAAAGTTGTAATTAATCAGAGACAAGCTATGCAAAGCATGAATTGTCAGAAAGTATGGAGTTGGGCACTTGGGGTGCATGCCTTATGGGCATATACCTGGACATGTCCCTCCAATACTTCTTTCTAAGCCTTCCATCTCTGCCATTATCAAATGGCAGTTTTGATGAGGTTGGGAAGGTCTTGGCCAAGGGACTGACTGGACTGGTGGGTAATTTTGCAGGCCTGATGGTGGGTGCCAGAAAGTGGATGCCATCTTCACCAAGGGTGCAATGCCAGGACAATTCAGCAATCCAGGTAAGGTTAGAGGCTGTGATCCTATTTAGTGAGGACTTGTAGTAGGGGTCTGAGAGAGGGGGGTGCCAAAGTACCTGCTCTGGGACAAGACCATTTTTACTTTGGGAAGTTTACACTGAAGCAAGAAGAATGGAGATTAGATACCAGGAAGAATTTCCTGTCAGTGATGCACATCAGGCATTGTATTAGGGAATGAAGAGAGTTGTAGATTCATTTTCTCTGGTTGGATGGGTATGGTTGAAGGGAGGAATCTCCTCTAATAGGCCTTTCTAATGGTTTGGTTGGTTCTCTGCCCCCTTTTGGGCTGAGCATAGGAAGTGAAATCAGACCATGTAGAAGATCTCTGGGATTGGGAGTCCACTTTATGGGAGTAGCTAGGATCTTCCCTTTTTCCCCAGCCATGGGCCAGGAGGACATCAGTGTGCTGAGCTCTGACTACAAACATTATGCCATTCTTCGCATTAAGATGAACAAGGGACCTGTACAAAGAGTAATGATGCAGCTGTACTGTATGTATAATCTTACTACTGGTCCCCTCCTTTTCAGTCCCCTTCCCTTCCCCATTCCCTATTTCCATCCCCATTCCTGTTCTTATCCCCATTCTCATCTCCATTTAAGTCTTCTTCCTCACTATAGCTAAGGGATGGTTGATACAGCTGATTTTCTCCACTAGCTTCTTCTTACTCATCTGCCTGCAGCTCCCTAGCTACCTGCCTGTTTTCCCCCCAGAAGCCCATCTGCTCCCTATCTGAGTCCTATCTCATTTATCTACCTATGAACTCCTACTCACCCAGCTGTGTTCTCCCACTTACCTACCTGAGCCCTTCCACTGAACCCTGTGTGTCCCACACTAATCCACCTGTATCCTTCCATTTAACTAATGAATCCCATTAACCTGCCTGTTTTCCCCCACCTGTGTCCCCCCACCATTCACCTATACACCTCATTCACCTACTGTGTCTAATTCTCAACAATCTCAACAATATTCTCTCTATTTACCCACCTATATACTCCCAGTCCCCTACCTATTCCATTTACCTAGCTACATATCCCTTTAGTCACTCACCTGTGTCCTTCTACTCACTTATTTTTACTTCTCCATTCACTCCTTTTTTCTACAGGCCGTTCTCCAGAGCTCTTTGCTGAAGGTGCACAAAAGATGCAAATGTTGGCACCCAAATTAAACCTGAACCCCAGCCAGGGCGCCATCTTCCCTCAGTCAGGTAGGATCCTCACAACCACACCATCACCCTCACTAGTCCTACTTTCAATCCTGGGGATCACATGGAGAGAAGGAAACAGATACAAGTTTGATCCTCTAGTCCTATACATTCCATCACCCACCATTGATAGGGGTCCTCAGACAGTGAAATAAAATTAAATGACAGTTAAAACTTGGTGGTGTGGAGCCTTGACCTGGGAGTCAGGTGATGGGGGGTTCTAGTTTCTCCTTTGCCACTTACTAGCTATGTGAGTGTAGGCAAGCTCCTTCCACTCTCTGGGCCAGTCAGTCTTCCCATTGGATTTGGGTACCAACTGTCATGACCAAGGCAGCTCTTAGCCTACCATTCTCTTTTTTCCTACAGATGAGTGTAACTCGGCTCTCACCGAGGTAAGCATGGCTGCTGTGTAAGCTTCCATCTATTTCACCGGGGCCACTGCCAGCTCTAGAGCAAGGATATGAGGTGGTCCTTGTTGGGGTGCCAGGGCAGAGAAATAACAGTAAAGCAGTATGGCATAGTGGAGACCAGAAAACCCTGGTTCAAATCCTGCCTCTGATGTGACATTTTGTGACACTTACCCTCACTGGACCTCATTTTGTTCACTTGAGATATGAGGGAGTCAGCCTAGATGGCCTCTGAAATCTCTTCCAGTTCCAGAGTAATGATCACAATGTAGCTAGGGAAAATTAGAGTCAGAAATTATGGGACTCTACTGTCACCTGGGTGATTTTAGGCAAGTCTTAGGTCTTTCTCTGAGTCTCAGTTTCCTCATTTGCAAAATTAGAGAATTAGACAAAAGAATCCGTCTATGGCTCCCTTCTAGCTCTCTACCATTTTGTGTCCTTTGAGACGTAGTCTTCAGTATATCTAAGATGACTGCTAGTTGATCAGATTGCTTCTTGGTTGTCTTAGAAGGCAGAGAGTTATCCTTGGAAGGGATAAGACAACTGAGGTCCAGTTTGAAAGAGTAGGGGAGCAGAACCGGGGTAGTGGAGCACCATGGGAAAGGGGAGCTACCCAAATGGGTGGAGTTCAGAAGGAAAATTCAACAATACAATTGCTCTCCTTTTTCCAGTGACCACTGACATGACCCCTGCTGGAGTTCAGGCTGAAGCCTCATCAGTCACCCACCTGCCTGTCCCCCTTCTCCCCACCCCTGCATTGCCCAAGGCTGAGACTTTCTCTTCTTTTCCTCCCAGAATCTTCCTCACCACTCAAATACTAAATAAACAAATGCTGTGAAAGTTCTAGAGTACTTGAATTTATTGAGGGGTAGGGATGGAGGGGAGATATGTGAATAGAATTGGAAAAAAGGAGAGAGGATGAGTCTAAGAAATGAATGACTCTGTGGAATCACCTTACCCCCTTACCCCCACATCCATGAACATACTTTTCAAATTCTCTGGCCCAGGTGGGGCAGAACAGAAGGGAAACCCACCCTGAACCCATATTCTGATGCTCTGTCTTCATCTGACAAAAGGGGACAAGCCTTTTGCTTGGGAGACAACTGTGTCTCCGTGGGCACAGGGCAAAGAGATGGAGTTCTGCTATATGACTGGGGTAATGTCCCCCATCTTGCAGATCCTTCCTCTGTCTCTCCCCCTCCCCCGCCCCCACTGCAAGCAGTTCTTCCTCCCAGTCCTAGCCTCTCTTAATTCTGGTGACTTCCCAGAACCATGAGAACATTCTACACAGTAACAGCAACATTGTGAGATGATCAACTGTGATAGACTTAGCTCTTCTCAGCAATACAATGATCTAAGACAATTCCAAAAGACTCGTGTTGGAAAATGCTATCCACATCCACAGAAAGAGCTATGGAGTCTGAATGCAGACAGAAGCATGCTATTTTCTCTCTCTTTTTTTCTTTCTTGTAGTTTTCCTCTTTTGTTCTGAGTCTTCTTTCACAACATGACCAATGTGGAAATATGATTGGATATGTATAACCTATATCCAATTGCTTGCCATCTTGAAGAGGGGAGAGGGGAGGGAAAGAGGGAGAAAAAAATTTGAAACTCAAAATCTTATAAAAGTGAATGTTGAAAACTCATCTTTACATGTAATTGGAAAAAACAAAATGCTATTAAGTGGAAATAAAATAAAATTCTTTAAAAAAAATTCTAGTGACTTCCTTTTCATAATTACTTCCTGTTTACCCTGTATATAACTTGTTTATACATATTCATTCACTTACTGTCTTCCCCATTATCATTCTGAGCTCCTTGAAGTCAGGGACTGTCTTTTGCCTCTTTTCATAGCCCTAGTGCTTAGCTTGGCACATTGTAGACACTTAATAAACGCTTATTGACTGAATGACTGCTCTAACAACCACCATAGGCCATTAGGTGACATAACAGACCACTGGACTTAAAATCAGTATGATTCCAATTCAAATTCTGCTGAAGACTCTGGGCAAGACATTTAAGCTTTCTCAGCCTCAGCTTCCTCATCTATAAAATGGAGATAATAATAGCACCTATCTTACATGGTTGTTGAAATCAAATGAGATGATATGTGTAAACTACTTTGCAAATCTGAAATCATATTAAATTCTTGCCAGCTTTTGTGATTATTTATTAATAATGTGTGCAATGTACTATGTTAGGTATTGGGGAAAATCAAAAGTTTAGATTCAACTCAATTGAATCCAACAAATTTTTTTTAGCACCTGCTGTATACCAAGGTCTATGCTGAGTGATAAAAATAAAAACCAAAACATAAAGCAGTCCTTACCTTTGGAGAGTTCCCATGGGGAAACAGGGGGAGACAGTATAGACATAGATAAGTAAAAAGATACTATCTTCAAAGTACTTTAGCCGGGCTGAGCACTATTTGCTAGGTGAGGTGATCAGAAAACTTCTTGGTGGAATTTGAGCTAGGGTCTCAAAGGAGTTAGGGATATCAACAGGCAGAGGTGAGGAGGAAAAGCATTGCAGATGTGGGAAATAGCCAATTTAATGACAGGCAAGAGACAGAATGTTATGTATAGGGGAATAATTTGGCTGCAATGCAGAGTGAATGGAGGCGGGGGGATAGTGTGACAGTCTAAAAGGTAGGCTAGAGCCATATTGTGAAGGACTTTAAAAGCCAAACAGAAGAGTTTTTATTCTATCCTAACAGGGGTGGGGAACCTGTGGTCTTGAGGTCACATGTAGCCCTCTAGGTTCTCAAGGGCAGCCAAAGTTTAGATTCAGTCAAAGGGCTGCCCTTGAGGACCTAGAGAGCCACACGTGACCCACCCCTGCTAGGCAATAGGGAATCACTGAGGTTTCTTGAGCAGGGAGTGACTCAGGGTTGTGGTGGGTCCAGCTCTTAACTGGCTAGGGAGAGCTCATTATTAAATTTTCAGTGTGAGCATTTATACCTCAGAAATCGGCAAATGCTACAAATCAGAGTTTGATTTATCTTCGTTGTCGTTGTTGTTTTCTAGGCCTAAGAAAGTGAGGGAGGAATGTTAAATGTAAAAATGTTTCTTGTGTCCAAATCTCCCCCCACCCCACAACCAAGTTGGTTCTTGAACATTCACCAGCATATCACTGTCACATTTCCATATCTGTTCTTTAGGAATATCAACTCGGCAACTTTGTGGAAGATAGACTGGAGAGGTGTGAGATTGGATGGATGCAAGGAGATCAGCTAGCAGGCTTTTGAAATAGCCCAGGTGATGAAGGCATGTGATATAGCAGTAATGAAGGCCAGAAGCAAGAGAGGAAGCCATCTGAGTGAAGAGAGGGGGAATGGATGTGAAAGTTGTAGAGGTAGAATGAAAAACACTTGGCCGTGGGTTGGATAGAAGGGCTGAGGGAGAATCTAATGATTTGAATGACTTTGATGGCATGGTCACTGCATGGAGCTTCCAGTCTAGTAGCAGGCTATGACCAATCCCTGAAACACAATATTGTATTAGTGCATCAGAGCTGCAGAATAAAATACTTTGTGAGGTGTGAGGGGAGAGGTCATTATTCACAGAGGGTTCAAAGAAGCCTTTGTGGAACATATGGGTACATTTGAGTTGGACTTCACTGAAGGTAGAGTGGAAGGGTGATCCTCAGGGCACAGACTCTGAAAAGACAGGAACTAAAATGGACAGTTGATGATGGAGTATTCCTGGGCTGAAAGAAATGACAAATATGATCAATACAGAGAGACAGAAAAAGACTTATGTGAGCAAAATAAGGTAAGCAGAACCTGGAAAACAACGTGCACATCATATAAACAGAATGAACAACTACTGTAAAATAATCAAAAGTGAGTGTTAAAAACTTCCAAAGAACAAGCTTGGCCCCAAAGAAGAAATGAGGAAGACATTCTTTTTCTGAGAATGGGTATCCGCAGGTATGGAATATCGCATACAATGTCAAGGGGGTTTTTTATGTATAGATCTGCTTTGATGATTTTTTAAAATTCTTCCCTTTTTTTAAATAAAATTCTTGGTTATAAAGGATGGCTCGAGTGAGAAGAAGAGGAGAGATTAAAGGGAAAATCTGGATTATGCAAAGACAAAAAATATCAATAACACTTTAAAAATAAAAATGGTTGAGTGAGGCTAGACTTGGCCCAGGAAGTTGGAAATAGCTGCTTGGGAGCTCAGAAAATCTAAGTGACTAGCCAGGATACATTAGGAACCTAAGGTCTGGCAGGGCCTAATAATGGGAATTGGCTGAGATCATCCAATATTGAGGGAATATTTGCTAAGCCTTGAGCTGCCCCACCTCCCTAACGTCCACATCCCCATTTCCAGGTCCAACTCAGGCAAAGTCAGGAAAGGAGGCCAGATTGATTATAAAGACAAATTGGTCAGCCCTTCAGATGGTCAGTAGGAGATCAAAAGGGAGAAGACCAAGCCCTGATCATGTGAATGGACTGTAGATTTGGGGGTGAGGTGGACTGGGGAATCAGGCCACAGTAGGCAGGTGAGAAATTCTTCCTTTCAGAAAACCTCTTTGAAAGACTTTATAATTCCCATCAGTTGTGACTTCAGGGGACCAGCGGTAAAACATGCTTCCTTCTCCTCTGAGAGAGGTGCTAGACTATAAATGTGGAATCAGACATTATCAGAAAAGGCCAATGCGTTCATTTGTTTTAACTGTATTTCTTGGTTACGAGAGAGGCCGGGGGAGGAAGGGGAAGGAGGAAAAGAGTCACTGGGAAAGGACAACGATGTAACTTTTTAAAGAAATCATCACTGAATTTTTTTTTAAACTAATTCTTTTCTTCAGTGGGCGCAGGAACCCAGACCCACACATGCACACAGATGCAATCCCAGCTATGACTGTAAGGCAGCAATAGCAGGTTCCTTGGGCTGTGCTGAAAGTATTTGGAGTTTATCAGATCCTCTGTCTGCTTCACTGACAGAACCTCCAGGGCACAGGTGTTGCCAGGGCTCTTGAACTTGGAACAAGCCCCAGCCCTTCCCTCTAGGCCCCTGATGGTCTGCAACTGGTGATAGGACAGGTGTAGTTCCATCTGTGTCCACAAGATGACAGCACTAGCTCAGAACATCATACAATCACGGACCATTGAGCATATAGGGAAATGAAAGCTGGAGGGAGGCTAGGCAACCAGACTTGTAGGGGTAACTTTCCAGCGGGAACTATGAGCAGATGCCAGCATCTTTAACCTAGGACTGTTCCCTGCCAGGTCCCACTGAGCTGTGGGGAGGGCACTCTGGAGGAAGTCATGGAACTGGGGTCAGCTACCAACACAGCTCTGGCCTGGCCTGGCTCACCCTCATCTAGGAAGGCTCTGCAGGGCTCCTGGAACTCCCTGTTGTCGACCAGGCCCTGGGCAGACTGTTGAATGCCCCACATCAAGCGAAGCTGTTGAATAGGGTTCAGTAGGTAGCCAAGAATCCTTCTCAATAAATACCACCTCCCATTGAGGTTTCGGAGCAATATTGACTACCAGCTGTGACCCTCCTGGGAGGGGAGTGTTCAGTCCCTCCAGAGAAAAGCCATCCTTGTTAACAAATGAATGTATGAATGAATGAATAAATGAACATTTATTAAGCGCTTAATATTTTCAAAGCACTGTGTCAAGTTGGAGATATAAATCGAAAATCAAGACAGTTCTTGTACTCAGGGTGCCCAAATCTAATCACATACACAGAGGAAGCTTCAGCTACAGGTCAGGTGGAAAGGCCCCGTGGTCCTTGGGGTACAGCAACAAAGCAAATGGAGGCAAGAGCTTTCTTTTCTGGGTCTTCAGTAGCTTCAGCTGCTGAGGCGGGCAGTTGTCAGGTCACACG